CCCAGGACTGTGGGCATGGAGTCATCCAGGCTGAGCTTGACAAGCGCCTCGCGGACATGGAGCGGTCAGGGACGATGCTGGGCCCGAACTTTTTTTAGGGTTTAGGGTTTGGGGTTTAGGGTTTTAGGGTTTAGGGTTTGCAATTGTTTTTTTTAAAATTTGTTGTGTGGCCTTGCTGACGGCTTGAGAAATGGTTTCTACCTGATGTTTTTCAAGTTTTGGGACTTAGACGCTTAGGATTCAAGATTTTCCATCCATTGGCTTCATGGTTTTAATTGTAACTCCAAACCCCAAAATCTCAAATCCTCTAACCTACACTACCTACACTACACCCTAAACCCCAAGCCCTGCATCCTAAACCCTAAGCCCCAAACTCTAAGACTCTAAGCCCCAAGCCCTACGCCGCAAACTCTAAGCCTTTGAAACCTACATACAAATTCATACATCAAATGGGTTTAGGGTTTAGGGCCGTCCTGGGGCTATGTGTCAGCGCCGAGGCTTAGCACAGGGTTCTACCCCGTTGCTCCGATTCGCAAGGTTGCTTTCCGTAGTGACATTGGGCTTCGCTTTAGGGCTTCAGGGTTTAAGGTACACCGTTTGGGGCTTCAGGGTTTATACTGGAGTTGTAAGTTCTGCTATCAAGAGAGCTCGAGGTTTGCGTTTTTGGTGAACGCTAGTCCGCACGCTATGGCTTCTTATGCAGGGAGGTGTCAGATTCGTCATTTCCTCTAAACCCTGCAGGTTTCGTCGCTCTTTTTGTATCGAGGTTCACATCTCGGGCCAACCTGGTGTTTAGGGTGCAGGGGTTTAGGGTGTAGGGTTCTGGTTTAGGGGTTCAGGGGTTTGGGGTTTGGGCTTTAGGGTAAGTCCTTTGTTTGTAGTCCGGTCACATTGTCTGGAATTTATCCACAGTCGTCTAATGCAACGCTGCTCGGCAGTGCAGAGCAGGCGGAGCGTCCGGTCTCAAGTCGGCTGAGCGAACTACCTTTAAGGTCGTGGCATGGCCCTTGCCAAGTCAGCGACCTTCCTAAAACTACGGACACTAGTCAGATCGAGGATGTCCTTCCTCACAACCTCGGCCTCGGCACTAGGAACCCCAACCAAAACCCCGTCCACAGGGAAGGAAACCCCGATCTCTGTACGGTCCAAGTTCGACCTGAGCCAGGATTCGGCTCCTTGGCAAACAAGCGTGGTTGTCACGGCCTGTTTTACAAAATGCACCCAAGATGCGATGGTTGGAGAATGGAGTTGATTCCCGAACCTAGCCACCCAGAACGCAACCTCGATCCAAGAGAAAACAACCCTGTCAGTCGCGCCCTCATCCCTGGCGACAACAAAATCCATTATTCCAACAATCACCTCTCGGGTCAGCCCCCCTTTGAGAGGCCTGACTGCTTGGCGCCAGTTGGGCGCAAAATTGTCACTAAACCCGTCCACTTGCTCAGCTGTAGGAGGCTGCAGCACAGCTTCCTCAAACTCTACATCTTCCGACTCTCGCACCACAAGGCGGTCTTGATTCGTCTGGCTGGCGATACGGAAGTGAATGCCCTGAAGTGCTTGCAGTCTGGATTTTTGACACACGCGGTCATGAAGTAGTGCGGCATGTAGCTGGTGAAAGGCCTGAGGGCGGTTGGCGTTTGCAAGACCTGCCGCTGTGTCCGCGGCCGAGTTCCACTCAATGCACCAGGCTTCGTAAGGACCAGGGGCTTCAGCCGATTCTTCGTGAGCCTTGACATGGTTGACCGTAAGCCGATCGGCCAATAGCTGCACCAAACTCTCAGCTTCTTCCCAGAGTTCACGATGTTGCGCCGTGTGCCGGATTGGAAGACCTTGCTGCAGGCGCTTCAAACCCTCCACCACATACATAGCGTCGCTCCACAGTCCGACCCTGACGGGCTCTTGAGCGGCCCAGTTCAGGGCGCTGACAGCCGCTGTGAGTTCTGCACGGGGAACCGATTGATCCGCTCCACACACTGGGCCACTGGCCAGCGGGCCACCAATATCTGGACACTGCACTGCCCAGGCAGCAAGCTCCAGACCCGGCAAATCTTGGTAGAGCCCAGAACCATCCGTGAAAAGCTTCACATATTGGACTGGCGGTCTCGCAACATGGTAGCTGCGGGTCAGGTCTGGAAGATTTTCCAGCATGATTCTCAGAAGGCCGAAGTTGGCATGACGCGGTGGCAACAGGTGACAAACTAACGCCTTGGGGAGGTTGACGGCTTCCTCCACGACCCATTCATAGTCCACCCGGCACTCTGCAAAACGTGGGCAGTGTAACACACGGTGGGCCACATTGTCAGTGCAGTTGCACTGAGTGCACAGGGCTGGCTGCGTCAAATCAAACTTGCTCTGCTGCGCTGGCGTGATTGCTGTTCCGGAACGGATGTTCCGTTGCCACTTCACCTCCAAGGAACTGAGCCCTCTCAGTGACTCGAAAACCAAGCCCGTATCAACCGTCTGAATGTCCTGCATGGTCTCCCGATGTGCATGACCAGCCAAGACATGCTGCGCCCAGGCATCCTTCACCAGAAATTTGAGGCTGCAGCACGACAGTGACAAGAGGTCATGAGTGGCACCAAAGTGATCCAGAAAACGAGGAGGATCATGGAAAGCCCAATGAAGGCGATCCGCCACCTGCAGGAGCTTGGAGAATGGCCCTGTGCGAAATCTTCCATCGAAGTCTGACACAAAGGAACGCCAGAGTTCGACTAGCACCGGATCTTTAACCAGCAAGCGCTTGAAGTCCGAGATGGTGCGCCACACATTGTAGTAGCCGGGATCGGCCTCCGGCGTGGAGGAGAGGAACAGAGCAAGCTGCGAGCTTGAACCAGCCTTGTTGTAGCCTAGCGCTCTGGCAGCCTTGGCACGCAATGCATTCAAGTGTGCTTCAGAGAAAACACAGCCAACTGCTCCATGTAGGGCACGGCTCCAGAACTTGGACGGTAGGGCCTGCAACTTGCGCCAGCCGGGGGCGGCACTACGCGCCAGGTGGGACCATAGCGGCGACAGCGACTGCAGCCTGCTGACCAAGTCCTTGACAAAGGCTTGCGAACCGAACGAGAAAAAGCCGCCGAGCTCTCGCTCGTGGCGAAGCACTCGCAGACCGAGGCTTTGCATTTTCCGACGATCATCTGCTCGAAGGGCCCAATGATAGGCCTTGTCTTCATCAAGCTCCAGCCCCATCATATCCCAGAAGCATTCTAGAAAGAAGCGGCCCCGAGCCAAAGTGAGAAGATCGAAGGCGGTGGCCATGAGATTGTCCACGTAGGACGAGGCACACACTTGCGGTGCAAAATGCCGCATGTACACATGAAACATGAAGTCTGCGACAGTCATGCCCGCAACCGACATCGGGTCCCCTTCTACTAAACCGCTAGTTGAAGGGACTGCCTGCCCTACCACGTTTCTGACAAGAAAATGTCGCTGAACCCCGGCATTGAAAGCACTCCACGGGGCCATCACCTCCGGAGGTACTCCGATCTGCGCTGCTGCCCGGAAGATAGGAAAACGTGGAAGACCGTTGAATGCCTTGACCAGGTCTCCGCAGTATCCCACCATGGTCTCCCCGGTCTGCAAACAACGTTCAATCTGTGCCTGTAGTAAGAACCAGAGATCTGCAGCCTCACGGCCGGGGAGATAGCCGAAAGCTTCGTGCGGCATGTGCTTCTCCAAGTGCTCAAGAACTTGTTTGGCTCTGATGGAAGCCCACACCCTGAACACAATGCTGAACAGACAAATTGGCCTGTATGCATCCGGCCCTTCTCTGCCCTTGCCCTTATGTGTAGAGCAGACAAAACCATGCAAGAGCTGCTGTGGCCAGGGCTGGCCAGCCTCAACTAGTCTGAGTGCTTCGAGCAGCTGCTCGACACGGGCAGTTGGCATCTGAAGGAGGTCTTCTCTGGAGTAGGCATCCGGGCCTCGGGCTGCTCTGGTCTTGAGACGCCTTACTGCACGTCTCCACATCTGAACAGAAATGGGCGGGATTTGAAAACTGGCATGCGGCAAAAAGTGCTCAGTGAAGGCTGCAACTCGCTCCCAGTCGGAAGAAGAAGGCAGGACACCTTTGCACCACCGCGGCCGCCAGAGGCTCTCGAGTTCAAAAAGAACATGCTCTGGAAGGTAAAGGAACTGCTTTTGCTCAAGTTCAGAGCCTGGTGCTGGGAGAGGTCCTTCAACAGTGCCCACTGGGCCATCCGTGCTCACAACATGGATCTGCAGCCCCATGGACTGCCACTCTGAATGGCCACGACTGTCCAAGTGACCCTCTACTGCAAATTGTGAGCTTGCCTCATCTGCCGCCAGGACCTCGTAGGTGCGGGTAATGGTGAGAGTATCCAGCGGCGCTGGCTTCTCTTGGCGCAACTCAGTGTAGAGTTTGGTGAGGCATTCCTCATGCTTTGCTGCCAGCACTCGGCTGCGTTGCCGAATTTGCCAGGACTCGAAAGTTTTGTAGTTGGCATGAAAGTCCTGAAAGATAAGCTCCACTTGTGCTGCGGTTGGGGCAGATGGGAGGCATGTGGGAGTACCTTGCAGCTGTATTGGTCGATGGCTCCACCAGAGAGAGAAGTTGGCCTCAAAGCCACTGGCTCGCAGAATACTGCGCCACAAATTGGCACGATATTCAACGGCATTATGGTTCTGCGAAGCCGCACGTAGGGCATCTCTCAACGACTGGAGACGTCGGAGTTGCTGAAACCACTGTTTGGTCTGTCTGCCCAGTAGTTGATTAGCCATCTGAACTTCGCCTGCCCGGCTTGGCTTCGGGAGAGACGGCTGAATTTGGCCAATTGACGGCTGTAGTCGTTGAGCCCTGCCGAGTGCTGTCTTAGGCGGTTGTTGGGACGGAGCCCCCGGAACAAAGCTTGAGAGGCTTCGCTCCCAGGCGTTGGAGAACTGGGCGTACCAGTTAGTAAGGTTGCCCTGGACAGCTGGCGCATGGTGGACTTCTGCGGCGTGCCAGGCTTCAACATCAATCTCTTGCCACGGGAGCTCCTGGGGTCTAGGCCACGTGGTGATGGAGCGGCCATTGTCTGGAACTGTCAGCTCCGCGGAAAGCGTTGCATGCTCGGCAAAATGATGCTCAACCCTGACACCTGTGCACAATGCAACGGCTTCTGGCGACAGCCACAAAAAGTCACGCCTGGTAGCACCTTTGCAGGTTGGCTCGAGGGGGATTTGCCATCGTTGAAGACGGAGCTCCTGGGCCTCACACCAACCCTGGTTCCTCCAGATGTGTGTGCATTGGAGAGACTCGGCATCATGATTGAAGTCGCCTCCAATGATGCGGGGCCCTCGACGGCCCAAAACTAGCTCCTTGGTGAGTGGGACAAGCAGGTCGTTGGTTTGCTGCAGGGCAGCCTCGTGCGTCTGGCCACGTGCAAACCCATACACATTAGCACAGATCAAGGGCAAATCCCCAACAGCATGCCGAACAATCTGCGCGCGGCCCGATTCATAAACGGCTTCTGGCCAGGTGATCTGGACATCCTGGGACGGGAAATCCGAAACAGTGGCAACTCCTGTCCATGCACCAGCCCAGGCACTATGCGTGCGCAGCGGTGCTGGTGATCCAAAGTGTGTTCGCACCTCCCTGTGTTGCTCGCACCCAAGAGCACGGAAAGAGGCACGACAAGGTGGCTGAGTGACACTTGACAGCTGGGTTTCTGAGAGCAGGCTGATTCCGGCACCCAACTCAACTACTATTGCTTCCTTACCACGCAACCCGGATGGATTCGTGGTTGAAATCCTGACACCGGCCGATGGCCCTGGATTGGCAGCTTCTCCGATGCGGCTGAAAGCACAAGACACTGTGGTCTCCACATCGAAACTTGGCATAGGCGAGACACTCGCCTCGGTAACAAAGGTTAGGCACCGCTCTGCATGAAGAGGCGACAAGAACCCACTGTTGCCTTCAACAGATAAATCAAATGAATCTGCTGCAGTGTTGGTGCAATTCACGCTGACAGGTGTGCTGGCTAGCACGAACCAACAGATAAGAAGCCGGAAAAGTTTGATCGCGGCTGTTCCTCTACTCAGCCTGGCCTTCACCGCGAGTGGCCAGCTGGAACGACCTAGTCACTCCCCGCGTCCGCGGAAGAGCAACTTCATGTGCTCAAGCTGTGCACCCAGTTGCGTGGAGAGCTGGGTTGTCATGTCTTGCTGGAGCACCTGCACAGCCTGGGCAACTGTCTGCTGAACCTGCTGACCTTGGGTCGCAACCTGATCCTGGACCGCAATCAGCTCGGCCTGTTGGTGCTGCACCGCATTCTGGAGGCCTTTCAGCTCCTGCGCATTCTGGTCAACCTGCGTGCCAAAAGACTGAAACCAACCCTCAAATTTTGTGTTCTGCTGCTGGAGCTCAGCCAGGCCAACCTCGAGCTTCTGCATCCTGCGCTCCTGCTCGGAATCTGCTTGATCCTGTGAGTCTGCTTTGTGTTGTTCAAACTGCATTTTCACTGCCTGCTCCATGTTTGCTCGCAGTTTGTCCTCAACTTGCTGTAGTTTCTTTGTAACTAGTGGCTTTGCCGATTCTTGCGAATCAACCTCCATGCTGGGCTGGACTTTCTCGAGACCTGGAGGAGGGCCGAGCTGACGGTATTGAGACCAGGGGTCATTTCCACCGGCCCACGGATCGGCCGTGGAGCTGGCTGTCGAGGCACCATCAGCCATGTGACGCTTGGTGCGGGCGGAGGCAAGGATGTCTGCAGTCTTGCTGGCGGGCGCCGCAAGGTCTTTGATTTTGCAAGCAAGGGCAAAGCCACTACCCACAGACAGGGCCATAGAAGGCGGTGGTTGCTCGGAACCAATTTCCCAGGCTGCTCCTTGTGAGTCTCCGCGGCACGGTTGCAACGGTCTAGCGTGCCACTGCCATTGTTCAAGCAGCTTCGCAACACCTTGACGCGTAATGCCGAAAGGAAGCGGATGCAAACGGTGCTTTAGCAGGACCCGTACTTTCTGAAAGACATGATCGGGCCGAAGCTCCTTGAAGGCGGCCTCTGCATATTGTTCCCTTACTCTGATGCCGTACTTTGTGCCGAGCCGGATGATGGCCAGCGCATGGTCACAAGTACGCAGCGCGTGCGTGGCTGTGTGGAAGTCGGCACCTGGCAACCAAATGACCTCGTATGCGGGATGTGCCCCCGGTTGTCCTTGCGGTGCGCGGGGCTCCAGATAGAGCCCGGGTTTATCAACCTGCTGGAGTGAATCGACAGCAGCCTCTGGCACACGGATGAAAGCTTGAAAGACTTCAGCTTTCCCCGCCTCGGACTTGTTACCCGCTAGATTCTGAAAGCGCCTGGCCCAGATGTCAAGAATGACTGCATCCGGCGCATCCTCCAGCGGTGGGTGGTACTTTTGGCACTGGGGCCCACAACGCTGGCCCTTGCATAGAACAAGCAGCGGCTCATGCAACATAATAGCTTTGATTGGAGCTCCGATGAACTGATCCCAGCTGCCCGGAAACTGATCTCTATAGACCTGAACCTTCATGACGCCGGTATGCACCTCTTCTACTTCCTCAATGGTCGCCTGTGCAAGCTCCACTGGGCAGTCTCCAAGCTGAATGAGCGTGCCCACCATGAGGATGGCCTCACCTGTTGGCACGTACTGAACTGGGAAACGGATGGTGCGTGTTTGCGCCTCCTCAAGCTGCGCTGCTGGGAGTTGCAGGGTGGTGACAATTGCAAGCGGCTCGACACTGATGGAACGGTAGGGGGAGAGGTAAGGCGCGGCCTCTGCTGGTGTACAGATAGCAACGCCCTTGGCATGCGAGGTAACATCTTTGAACGCCAGGACCGGCACGGCTTCACCTTCACTATCAACAAAGATGTTCGCCCCTAGCTGCAGTGAGCTCGGCTCAAGTTGCGGGGGCACCTTCGGAGCTCCTTTTCCTCTTGCTTTGCCTCGTTTGGCCATAGCAGAGGAGGTGTCTGCACCAAACTTGGCCCCGGCACGCTCTTTGATGTGCTGCTCTAGCTCATCCGACTTGACCCACTTGAAATTGGTGCTGGGCTGCGAACCCAAGGCCTTGAGTACAGCCCAAGGGTTGCGGGCTTGCAGCGCCTCAGCCAGCCTGTTGGCTCCAATCTGCTTAACAGCGGCATCTACCCGTGCAGGCGCGACCTCCTTGGGGACTCCCCTTTCTGCAAGGAGTGTGGCAAGCTGGGCCTTTTGCAGGTCAGAGAGGCCGGCACCCACATGTAAGGCGCGGTCGCCTTGAAACCAAAATGCCCTGTCTCGCAGATCTTGCATTAGCTGTGGAGTCGCCTCCTCAGTTAAACCAAGGAACAACATGACATGAGCAAGCGCCGCAGCTCCACAATTGACAACCGGACAGTCAATCCAGGAGTCTTGCTCAACCAGGCAGAGCGGCAAGTGCCAATGATCACAGAGGTCTTGTGCAAGCTTGGCACCCTCTACATGCGAGCGGTTGGGCAGTGGATCTAGAATGGTGGCACAAACACCCTGGTCCTCTTTGCTTAGCAGCAAGACATACCAGTGCGCGCTTGAGGCGGCAACTGCTACCACTGTGCCGACATGCTCTGGCACCAAATCCCGAAGGAGGCTGTAGCCGTCAACCGAAGCCAAAAGCGAAAGCAGCGAGGCGAAGCGAGGCTCAAGCATAAGTACATCTGGTGCTGCTGTCCGCTCAGTGAACTCACGCAATAAGCAAGCAATGCCAAGATCGCCAAGGAATTCTGGGGACTGTGGAACAGCACACATTTCCCTGGCATCGATCAGACAGGGTGCTTCAATGCGAAAGGCCGTTGTGATTGGCGTTTGTTCTGGCATCAGGTGCAACACGCTACAGTCTATGGCAGAGAGGCAGGGCAATTGGCCAAGCAGAGTGCCGGTAGGCACCGCATTGACAAGGATTTCCGTCTCTGTGCAGACGTAGCAGTCTACTAGTTCCGGCTCGCGCTTCTGCCGTTTAGCCGAAATTGAGAGACGATAACCTGGCTCATTGGGGTGAAGCAAGGCCTGCATGGGCAATCGCCTGTCACCTTGGAACATTTCAATCCTGTGCCCCGGCCCGTGCAGGTGTTGTTCCGCGGCACACAGCTGGCCTGCTGTCAGCCTCCCAGTGGCGGGGAAGAAGCTGGCATGGCCGTCCAGTTCCACCTGAACAGGGAGACCTTGCAGCATATCTCTGGTAAGCCAGAGATCTTGTCGCTGGTTCAGCAGCGATTGCTTGAACTGTGCTATTGCTGCAAGCGGCTGCAGTTCAACCTGAGTTTGGTAGTTCGCCTGTGTCCAGACTGCAATGTGGGCAAAGACCCACAGTGCTTGCAACGGCGCCGCAACTTGTCCAACCAGGCAGAGCGAATCTCTGGCAGAGTCTGCGTAGCAGAAGTCAACAGGAATTGTGTTGAGCAGGCCTAGTTCGGATGGGTGTGCAAATCGTAGCTGCGAGGTAGTGACATCAATCACACCTACTCCACGGAAGCCTCCATTCATCAGCCGCTGCAGGGAAAGAGGCTGCGTGCGACACCCACAGGGGCATGGCCGTAGCGCACAGCCATAGCTGTGCAATGCCGTTGGTGCCACGCCATTGGCATCGTATCGGCGGCAGTCGGTGCCGAACTGTGCATCTTCATACATCTCTGCTTCCTGCTGCGTCCACTCAAGGTCGTGGATCTGCTCTGTTGGCCAGCAGGGCCACTCTGGAATGACATCTTTGATGCAGGGATGTGCTGTAGAAAGAGGCCAGGCACAAAGGTGGAGTTGATGCTCGAGCTTGGGCAGGAGAACTCCCCACCACCGCTTACGCTTGCAGGGCCACTGGTCCGCGAGTTCAAGTACTACTTGGTCGAAGGAATAGTCCAACTTAAGTGCAAGTTGCTGAATGGCCTGCATGGCTTCTGGGAAATCCTGCACTGCAGCTACACACTCCAAGACTAAACCCGGAACTTGCATGTGCCAGGCCAGTCGGAGTACCTGCAGCAGCGTGCTGCTGCGCGCATCAAGCATGCCTGCTCTGTCGCCCTGCGTTGAAAAGGGCTGGCACGGGAAGCCTGCCACCAACAGGCTGGCCTTGTCTCCGGCTGCCTGATGAAATGCAATGCGATCCTGTCGGTTGTTCAAGTCTCCTTGCACTGCCACAAGTCCATTTCGCCTTAACACCGTGCACGCAAGCTCACTTTTGTCCAAGCAAAAACCTGTGCTCATCTGGAGGGCTTTGGCGGCGATTGACATACCACCAATGCCCGCACAGACTTCATTCAAAGACTGATACGCAGCGCAATCCCGGTGTGGTTTGCGAATGGCACAAGTAGCATCGGTACACTTGAACACCGGAAGCCCTGAAGACCAACCAACCAAAGCAATCCCATACAAAGTCCAGATGCCATCTGTGAAGACACCACGCTGAACCAAGAAAGTTTCATGATGCCAGAGACTTTGGAACACTGCTGAATCCCCCTCCAAACCGAGAAGGAGGGCAGCCTGATCGCAGGTGTCGCCAATAGACAGCAACTGCAGCGAGATGTCACCGAACGCCATGAATGAGAAATCCCTCTACCTTCGTAGTTACCCGCTCCACCACGGGGAGGTGGTAGAGCCAGAGCTATTGTCTGGAATTTAGAACAAATATTTTCTGAAACCATCTTGGTAATCTTGGCAATCTTGATTATCTGGCCCACCTGCCCCACTTGCTCGCCCACTAGTTTAGTTTTTGGAGACCAAATCGCTGGCAATCTTGCTCCCCCCTTTCAATCTTGGTCTGAAAGGTAAACTAGTCGGCGAGACCAAGATTGCAAGATTGCCTGGCAATATTGCTCAAATAGGTGTTCTAAATTCCCGGCACAATGTCGGGTCCAGAAGCCCAGCAGTCGTGATTCTGCCAGCAATCATGCCCACCTTCTGAGGTCATCTGCGATCCGCATATAACGTCATACAGATATAGATGTTACTTAATATATGATAATACCAAAGAATATGTAATGTTAACTCAATTTGGCAAGTCGTTGCCTTGCCACAGCCACATGCACGATCGGAAGCTTTTACCCCAAACCCTAAACCATAAACGGTTCTGGGCTGGTACCCCATGCGTGCTCTCGGCGATCTAAAGCGCCGTTGCATCCGCGCATACCGCTCACTTTCTGGCCTCCTGATAGTGCTCCTGCCGCAGTCCCCAATACCCAACCGTGGCTTTTGCTACTTGGGGTGTTCCTGGAGGTTCTGGCGTTCTTTCGGAAAGCTTTCTGGTTCTTGGATGTCTGGTCTTTGGGTTGCCGGAGTCTATGCTGCAACTACAACAACCGGTAGGAGTCCTCATTTTCATTGCCGTCAAAACAGCTGGGTAGATGCTTAGGTGAGTCGGAAGAGAAGTTACAAATGTAGCTACTTCCACGTCACAAGAAAATCACATATGGATACTGCGCCGATTTAACTGCCTCGAGGTTTGTTTCTGAATGGATGCACAATAATCCACATGTGTGTACTAGTTCAATCATAGCTACACACCGGTAGTGTCTTGTGCTTGTATAGCTGATGTCAGTGGCTACTTTGCAAGTCCACAGGGCGGTCGTTTGTGCCTAAACCATCTAAGTAGATACCCGACACACCTCTAGATCCCACAAGTTCCTCTTGGGTAAAGAATCTAAGAAGGTGTGTCCCGCCATGAGTACAAGCACGGCGGCTCGCCGCTTATGAACCTGACCCTAAACCCTAAACCCTAAACCCTTATGAACCTGAGCTGAGGATGATCTTCAGCAAGCCCCTGACCATTCAGGACTGGGTTTGGTGCTGTAAAGGCCCTGCTCTCTTCCCCCCCCTGAAAGCCCAACCTCTGACTTACTCTACATTAGGGTTTAGGGTTTAGGGTACAACCCTAAGGTCCTCAGGCCAAAGACCCCCATATTCCTACACTAAACCCCATGCTCCCAAACTCTACAACTCCAAGCCCCTACACCCTGAAATCTGGCACCGTAAAAGCCCCAAAACCGCACCCTGAAGACTTGTAGCACGATTTTGTTTTCCGGCTTGGTAGCTGGCAAGTACGGGACATGCCGTAAAGGCGGTCCAGGAACTCCTCAAGCCCCGGAGTGCTGAACCTGGTGCTTGCTTCTTTGTGGCACTCCAAGTCCTGAACACTGAAACCGAAACCAACACCTAAACCGCCTAAACCCGAAACCCCTAAACCCCTAAACCCCTAAGCCCTAAACCCCTAAACCCATAAACCCTAATCATAAGGCCCTTTTTACCCGAAACGCCTAACTCTCCAAACAAATCCCTCGCCCTATACTCGCCCTATAGAGCCCTGTTACCCCGAAGACCATGAATGAGCGGTTGTGAAACCCTTCAAGGAATCCTTGTAGAACCGGTTATGGACACTCAGAACCCTTAAGCCTCTCCGACCTTCAAGGAACCCCGAAACGAACCCTTAAGGGAACGCCCACAGGAACCCTTAAAGGCACTTTTCAACGAGCACTGAAAGGCACTGCTAGATCCTTCCAAAGGACCCCTTAAGGGGACCCTATTCTAGAACCCTATAGTA